ATCTCTTTCTTATTTTAACATTTTATAATTCCATCTTATTCTTTTCAATTATTCTTACTTCTATTTCTATTCTTTTCATTCTTTGGAGGTATTTGTAATAGTTTATTTGATCATTTGTTTTTATTTTAATATGATATATATCATATTTTTTAATATGTAATATTCTTTTTAATTTCATATATTGATTATTATGGAGCAAGTCTCTTAATCTACATATTTTTGACTGTAATATTCTTTCTATACTTCTCCTTCCACTTCTTTCTTGATTCTTATTAATAATTATGTTAATAGTGGAGGTTATAGTTTTAATATAATGGTAGTAATCATCTAATGTATTGATTACTATTTCATTTGTATTAATGATATTAACTATTTGATGTACTTTGTTTTTATTGTAATAATAATTAATAAATTGTACTTCTTCTTGTTCTTTCATATCTTCTTCTTTATTTATTCTTATTATTTCTTGTATTTCTTCTTTCTTATTTATTTTATTAATTCTTTTAATTCAATATCTTTCCATTGGTGTGTTATTATTTCTTCTTCATTTCTTCTATTGATTTCAATTTTAATTTCATTCTTTATTTTAAATGTTTTCTTTATTATTTCTTTATATTCATTAATATCTTCTATTTTAATATCAAATTCATGTATTAATCTTTTTATTTCTTCTTCTTTAAGTTGATTTCTTAATTTTATTTCTAATAATTTTAGTGTAAAACATTTATAGAATGTTAGAATTTATTCTTCTCTATTTGTTTGCTTCAATTATTTTTTGAATGTCATGATCAGATGTGATGATATTCTTATGCTGATTTCCCATCTCTTCGATTGAATTCTGTATTAACTTTCTTTTTTGGAAGATTATCTTCATTTGATGATATTTCATCAATTACTACCACATTGGGGGTGATGTCATTCACAATTTGTGTTTCAGATGAGTCTGATATAGTGTGATTTATCTCATCTTTCTTCTTTTCTTCTTGTGTAATTTTATTTTATAATTTAAATAATTTATCTTTCATGAAGTATATTTGTTGTGATAAATTGTTTAATTCAGACATTTTCATTTCTGATTCAGCATTGAATTCAAATAATTTTCTATTAATTTCTTGTTTTTGAGTGTTTATCTCCTTTACATACTTCTTCTTTAATGACATAATGTCATTTGATAATTTATTAATGGTCTGGTCATTCTTTTGTATTTCTTTTTTCATTTCTTCTTTCTCTTTAATATTCTCTTCTATTCTTTAATTTTTCTATTCTTTTATCTTTTTCATTGTTCTATTCTTCTTCTTCTTTTAATTTCATCTTTTCTTTTTCATTAAGCATCTTCTTCTCTTCAGTAATTTCATTTTCATCATCATTTTCATCATTGTATATTTATCATTTAAGTATTTATCATTTATTTCATTTTGATTTATTTGTTTATCATCTTCTTCTATCATCATACTGATCGTTTCTTCTTCCATTCTGTTCATTTTTATTTTTTCTCTTACAAATAAATACCATCTTCTCATTATTGTTGATGGTGTGTATTCTTTAATCTTAGTGTTCTTAATTTATTCTATTTCTTGTGATGTAAGTATTTTAATTTCTTCTTCAAATAATCTTTTCAAATATTCTTGTTTTGTATTTCTATCATTTCTTTTATTTCTTATTTGTTGTTGTATTTTATTATGTTATTGTTTATATCTGTGTTGTGTTTTATTATGTGATTTATTTGTATTATAATACTGAGTGTTTCTATTTGAATTATTGATAAAATACTTATGATGATGAAAATAAATGAAGTGATAAATGAAACGATTCATACAATTATTATTATAATTATTATGATAATTGTTATGGTGATAGTTAATATTATGGTAATGATTAATGTGATGATTAATGTATTTCTGTCCACACAGATAATATGTTTTCACTCATTATTCTATCATTTATATTTCTTGGTTGATATTGATTTCTCCTTCTTTTGTTATTGATTTTTTTTTCTTTTTTGTGATGTCTCCTGTAATGAAGATTTTTTCTTAAATGTTATATATATCAAACACCTAAAAAAGAAAATGAACAAACTGTTAATCAATAGAATTTAATCAATGAGTTGTCAATGTAGATATGAAGAAGGGGGTGATGAGTGTGTTGATGCACTTCCACCACCTGCCAAAGGAGAAGAGAAAGAGATGAGTATTTTAGAACCTCCTAAAGAAATTAATAGAAAAAGAGAGGAAATGATTAAAAAGTTAAAGAGTTCAATACAAATGAAAGTCCAACAAGACATAATAAGAGAAGAAAGAGAAAAGAAGAAGGGGGAAACCCTAATCAAGGAAGAGCCAATTGTAATTCATAAAGAGATTCAAATACCAGTAGTTCAAGAAAGGAGTAATAAACAAATTGAATCGAAGATAATAAAGAAAGACCAATGTGATAATATAACTCAAGAAAACAACGACAATAATAGTGATAAAGGTATAGA